TAATAATTTTGATCAATAAATAAAATGTAATAATAATTAAAGTATAATTTGATAAAGTAAAGTTATAAAACAAAATTTAAATAATCCTATTTATATTTAATATTATATATTAATATTGTTTCATTCCCCTTCCATATTATTTATTAATAGATTGTCATGCTTCATTAATTTCAGATTCTATATATAATAATAATAAAATTTGATTATTAATTTATTAATTTATTAAATTGATGATAATTAATAATATTAAATCAATATTAAAATATTTTTCTTTGAGAATATAAAATTAATTTTATATATATTAATATCTTTAATATTTTACTTGCAGCACCTATTAATAATAATAATGTCATTATCTGAGGATAATTGGAAGTGGAAAATAATAATTTATCATCAATTGTAGTTTTTTTTATTTTATCATAAATATAAATTATTAATGAGTTTGTGAAAGATGAATTGATTATAAATTTTATTTATTGTTATTTACAAATATAAATCTATTTACATATAAATTTATTTACACATATAAATTTATTTACATAAATTTATTTAATCGATATCCATTTTTTGAAAAACAGATGACAGTGATATAGCTTGCTTTGGTGATGGTGAGACTGGTTGTGGTGAAACAGATGGTGGTGGTGTTGGTGGTGGTGGTGGAACAGCTACAACTGATAGTGGTGGTGGTGGAGCAGCTACAACTGATAGTGGTGGTGGTGGAGCAGCTACTGCAACTGATAGTGGTGGTGGTGATGGAATAACCCGTGGTGGTGGAACAGCTACTACAACTGGTAGTGGTGGTGGTGATGGAACAACCCGTGGTGGTGGTGGAACAGCTACTACAACTGGTAGTGGTGGTGGTGATGGAACAACCCGTGGTGGTGGTGGAACAGCTACAACTGGTAGTGGTGGTGGTGGGGCAACTGGTATGAATTTTTAAGACATAAAAAGTTTCTTTTATATTATGCATAAATAAATAATAATATAAAAATATGATTATTTTATTTATTATAATTACCTATTGTTCTAACTATATATCTGATCATCACAGCCTTATGTGCTTCGTACATCTTGTCTTCCCCACACACCTCCCACCATCTCCTTCCATCATACAACTCTATTTTTTCAATGTGACAATTGGAATGACCACTATTTATTTTTTTAAAAAATTTTTTATACCTATAGGTTTCTTTATAGTAGCGGGTGCACTGTCTAACTCTATTAGTGGTCAGGTCTTCGACGTAAACTTTCATGATAAAGCTTTTTTTTTGAAAAAAATTTAGATCTTGCTGATCGGTTTTAGATTTTAATGAATTTAAAAATTTAAAAGTGGGACATGGTGAAATTGAACTCAACCCTCCCTTGAGTTCTTGCGTCGAGGGTCCCTTGCGTCGCCAACTTCACCAAATTGCCCTTTATTATAAAATTGCTAAATTTGATTTTTTTATTTTGTAAACGGCTTTAAGTGGCTGAAATGTGACAAAAATGAAGAGAATAAATTGATTAAAACTTACAATTATATTTTAAAGCAATTAAAAATAAATAACCATTCAACGTTTTAGATACTCAAATTAATTATGAATCATATAAATCATTCTGCATCCTCACACTTTAATTAATTCTGCGTTTTTGGCCACATTTGTGAAATTAGGTGACATTTGGCTGTTAAATTGAGTAGTAAAAATCAGCCCTGCATTCAGGTTCTAAGATGTAACAAACATTTCTATCATCAATGAATGTTCACAATTGACTACTGATCACATACTGTAAAATAGTAATTTTACATATCACGGGAAATCAATATTGGAAATGATTTATGAAAGTTGCACACAAATAAAATTGGAAAAACTGATCAAGTATTCAAACTAGTCCAATTTCATATTTTATCCCAATAAAATAATAATTGATTCACGGAAAATATCTCAAACAATGGAGAAATAAATATTCTAATATTCTAAAATGTAACAAACCTTTAATTCTTAGATTTAATTTAAACAAAAGGGATTAAATGATTGGATTACAAGGTGTAGAATATTCTAAGCTTCCATATGGTCATTACTTTATGAAGGGTGTTGGTTAATAATTTTAGAGAAATTCACAAAAAATGGTTTATAAATGTTTTAATATTAATTATTATTATTATGTCAATAATTTCTTTCAACAAAAAATTTTTTAAATGAAAGAACTAAATATATTGAAGACAATAATGGTAATATTTTTTTTTTATATTTACTTTCATAAATAATAGATTATCTTTTATAAAAAGATTATTATTATGTAATTGATATATACTCCCTGGACAAAAGTTTCGGTCACCACAAAACAATTAATCACGCAAAAACGTACATAATAAAACACAAATAAATTTCATCAAATTGTGACTAAAGTTCTCAAAAATATGCATGCAAAATTTCAAATTTTTGTAATGTTTGGGAGAATAACAGTTAAAAAAATAAAAA